CACGACCTACTGCTATTGCTGCTGCTGCTGCTACTACTACTACTACTACTACTACTACTACTACTAACTGCTGCTGCTACTACTACTACTACTGCTGCTGCTACTACTACTACTACTACTACTGCTACTTTTTTTGCTACTCCGACGACTACTACTACGACGACGACTACTACTACTACTGCCTGCTACCTACTACCTACTACTAACTACTACCTACTACTAACTACTACTAACAACAACAACAACAACTACTACTACTACTACTACTACTACTGCAAATGCAACTGCAAATGCAACTGCAAATGCAACTGCAACTGCAACTGCAGCTGCTACTGCTACTGCTACTGCTACTTTTGCTCTGCCACTACTGCTAGTACTACTGCTACTGCTCTTGCTCCCGCCACTAAGGGCCGGGATGCAAACAAGCACGTTATCATAGGGATATTATGAGCCCAAGTGATTTCCCAAATGCTAATAATTCTGGCGCACATATGTGTAATGGTGCCAATGCGGAAATGAAGTCGTCAACAGGATCCTGAACGGCGCTGTATACATCCTGCAGCTTCGGGTCACAGGACCCCTTAGTGCAGGAGATCATGTGGCTTATCGGTCAATCGTAAAGGTTTCAAGCTAACGAAGCCTGCTTCTACTAGCAGTCACCGTTCAGGGAATCGAAACAGAACAGCAGTCCCCACAGCACACGGTCGGAAAGGCCAGCTTGCTAGGCCTGATTAAGGAGAAGTGGCGACGAGCCTACTTGGATTTGCGGATGTCCAGCATCCATGGCTACAGCTGGACCTGCTGCTGTGAGCTTCTTGTATGCCAGCGTCCGGCGCATGGATCCTGGGATTTGTGGCAGGGGCGCCTGTACCCGAACGCAGGGCGAACGGAGGCAGCAACTGCTCACTGCAATGGCACAGATTGCGGCCCCCGCTTCGACCCATGGGCACCCAGCAAGCATTAATCAAGCTTTGAGGCGAGATTCTCTTGGTATCTCTTGATACGGGTGAAGCAGAAGAATAACTAATGCGATGCCGCATATCTTTAAAGCCTGAAGCTGCTAGCGGCTTTGCCCGGGACCAGTGCCCAGGCTCTTGGCACCTGGCTTCTCTTTGGGCCTCTGGGGCTTGTACCTCTGCCGACAGCCCTGGCGCAGTGTCAGGCACTGCAATGGAAAGCAGAGACTCCAGGGATGGTTCTTGCGTATCTTAGGCCTTCTCAGACTGATTGAGGAGATCACAGTTCGGGAAACGAAGCAGATGGGCCAGCGCAGACGAGAAAAGCTGCGAGTGGGGGGTGTTGAAGAGTCGCTTGAGTTTTGGAAGGTATTCAGTCGTTCAGGTATATCGTGTCCGCATGCAGTGATTTGCTGCAAATTCCGATGCCGCCTAGCCTGGCTGAAACTCTAGCGCTCCAGGGGGAACTGCGTCTTTTCATGTGATACAGGCCGAGTCCTGTGGTCCCACACAAAAAACTCCCGAAGGGTTCGAATCATGTCTTGAACAGTCACAACCTTCGCCTGGTGTTGGGTCCGTCTTGGTAGCTATTAGAAAGCAAAGCACGTGAGGGCAGCGGCCAATGCTGACACCTGCCAAGGAAGGTATCAACTATCCAAGAAGCGGGCAAAAAAAGCATCTACCATCCTGAGGGTGCTCGCTGTTGGTGACTTTTCTTACAGACAATGTTCGCAGACCTGAGTGGCTGCGAGTGATGTGCCCGTAACTGCAAGGCAAGCAGGCAAGTTCTAATTGAGATGCGGTGTGTCTCACGGTGACATGTTGTTTTTGTTGTGAGATGTCTCCTCTTTTGATGCTACTTTGTCGACTTTGTGGTAACATGAAGGTCAGCATTGCCGCTAGTTCTGTCGCACGACTTGGTAAGCTGCATGCTCTTCCACCTTCCACCTTTGGACCTTGAAGTTCTCTACTGCATGAACATGTTGGCTTTCATCGCCGACAGAGATCACCGGAGCTCACCCACCAAACAAAACTAAAGTGTGGGTTGTGTGGGTATGTGAAAGGAGAGCCAGCAGCCAATGTCGTATCGATCAAAGGTGCCCCTTACCGCTAGGAGCTCCGGGACATGGTGCCAGTCGCGCGAGGTCCGCATGCGCAGGTTGCCTACGGCCTTCGGTTCCCAAAACGCTGGCAAGAGGAGCTTTTCCTGGCTCTGCAGAGCTTCCGACTGCTTCCGTCTGGAAAAGGGGATGGCTCCCTGTGCATGCGCGCAGTCGGCAAGGAAGAGCTCTGGCAAGTGGCTGAGTCGTTGCTGTCGCAGCTTCGCACCTTTCTGCGCCTGGGCATGGTGGCTTACAATAGTGTCGCGAGCACGACCTCGAAGGCGCGACCCTCAGCATCGGGCGTAGTGGCTGTTTGTGTTTTGAATATATATATATGTGTGTATATA